AGGCAAGGATCTTGCAATCATCCAACTCAAAATTCTCTAGGCTTTTCCTTCCGTGTGTAACTGGCAAAACTATTCATCAAACCAGCCAAAAACAGCAAATCAAACAAATCAACTAACTTGCTGAGCAAGTTTGTAGAGCTGTCGTGCTGAAACAGCGGTCGTATGTGTTCGCAACACATTTTTCTGCGCTTTCTCAATCTTCCAGTCGTAGTTATATCTGCAGAATAAATAATCTGTAGAGGTGGTCGACATGATTACGATGAATAACGCCTCAGGATTGAGGCTATATACCAAGAAGCAGAAGAATAACATACCCGGCGGATCCATATCCTCCTTTGCAGTGAACAGTTGTTACACGTTCCATGTAATCCAAGGGAAACACGGTACTCAAAGCAGGATCTGTAAATGAATAGATCGTAGTAGATTTAGTAGTAGTAAATAAACAATACTAATATAGTAATATAATATACTGAACATAAACGCACAACTCATCGTTTCTGAACGCGAAACGCACAACTCATCGTTTCTGAACGCGTGCCTCTGAGGACTGCATGCTAACCAAACCAGAAGCACGATTATGGGTTGTCAGTCAGAAGGTGCAGGTTGTGGAGGGGTTACAAATCCAGATCACCGTTTGATGGATTATCGCCGCTGCACACTGGTACTGTCTGTTCCGCGTGGGACACTTCGTCGCGCCCCCACCAATGCGGACATCCTTGCCGTCACCTCTGCCGTATTATGGGCCAAGGACAGGGGGGTACATACGCCTCCACAAATGGGTTTTCCCACCAGTACCGGATCCACAGAAACGGTAGAAACGTTGAGCATATATTCTCCAGACTTTTAAAGCTTCGAAACTCTAATTTCAAGTAATGAAGCAATAACGAACCGTCCTAGAGGCACAACAAAGACGGCGTAGGTGCCGGAAGGTTTTCACGTTGGCATTATCAACAATATAGAAACAACAGCGGGGCCCACTCTCTAACTGGCTCTCAATGGTAATGGAAACCTCGTGATCCAGTTTCCTAAAGCAAAATGATACACAAGCTTAAGCCGTCTTGACATTGAGGCAATCTAGAAACGGCAAACGAAAGTATCACGGCTCTAGAGAGGTAGAGGGGAGAATGCTTAACTTTTCGGATTCAGTAAAGCAATTACCTTGAGCACATGTGAACAAACTGCTTCAATTCTTGTTCTGCAGCTACAACTGAGAGCACATCATGCAGGTTAGTCAACTTTTCAAAACGGCTGCTGCCAGCACGGCATAATTCAATCTGCTGAAAATACAGGAACAATCTAAAACGTGTAGTGTTCACTTTCAAAATTCAGACACTGTAACGAGCGCAGGAAAAGAGCATTGATGGGGGTGAAGAGACCGACAAAGGGGAACGCGGAAGCTCTTCTGGTGAAGCTACACTTCTAAAAGGTTCCACCGAAGTGTACGAGAAACAAGATGGACCCATAACCTCACGTTAAGCCCTCAACCTGCAGTACCTCGAAAAGTTTTAATAGCGAGCTAAGCAAAGACAAGTACGGTTGTATGATGGCCTTGGTGAGAGAGGTGTTCCAGATCACCACAGAAAGGACACGACTCCAAAATCATAACATTTAGATCCCATCCGCAAAATATCGTCATATGAAAAGCACAGCACAGGGTTCTCTCTAAGGATATCCCAAAAATGATAAGTGATTTGACAAGAAAAGAAGGAAAACACCAAATTGGCTCCTCACCATAGGAACGTTCATAACATTTGATACTGATATTCATAACCTTTCGACAAAATGCCAGCAATACTGTGTCAATCCAAAGTGAACTTACTCCTTCATGAGTGAGTAGACTTTTCACGGATAACGAAATGATGATCAACACCAATATTTTCCAATATTTGCAATGTGTTGAAATCCTTAAAATAGAACTGAACAACAACTGAATAATTTGTGAGGAAATCAAGATCACAAACATTTAGAGATAATAGATAACGATTCTCGTAACGTTTCGGGCGTAAGTAACGTGTTGTGAAGCAGTGAGATACAACAAATACATTCATGTATTTGCCATTCGACCAAAAACATCGCAAACACATACTAACGAGGACAAAACATCGGGATACTCATGACTGGCAAATGTTGGCCCTGAAAGCAAACAAAATAGGTCAATTAAAAAATAATTACGAACTCACTGCACGACACGAAAATATTTCCTTCGCTTCCGCTCGCTGAACAAATTGCTCGGTTGAGTGAAGAGGCAAACAAACGAACAGGAAATGAAATGAATCGGTCGATCAGCTGTTTCCCATCAAGGACAACCTACCAACGAACGATGCCTACGCCTGCGTTCACTGATGTGTCGTCAGTTATTAGCCCGTCCCCTCCACACGCAGCGGTGGGCGGTGCCAATGGAATAGGGTTGGGCCAATGAGAGGAACGGCGGCGTCCTCGGTCTCCTCACTCGCTTTCGCGCCGTGGCATAGTGCAATTGCTGCCCTTGCGGACCACGCTACCTGCTCGCGAAGTTGGAGGGACCCTTCAAGTGAACGCGGACGCTGCCTTTAAGTTTGCGCACGGTGCGCGAAGCTTCTTCGGCCAACCAATGTCGTTTCAAACTTTAATATGCTGTACAGGGGGGGGGGGGGGTAAAAAAAGATAGATTTCGAATTGAGTCACATATCAGCAAAGTTTTCGCAGCCCAGACAGAGGACGTGGATACGAGTACCAGGGCGGAAGATACCCAAGATGTTCCTCTATAAGCAGGAGCTGGCGCTCGCCATCACTTTCCTGTACAAAAATATGAGCTTGCATTCAGCGTAATTGAGAAGATCTTCGGAATTCACGTCCCCTGCCAACGAAATGTGTAGTATGGAGTCACATAAATAGCTACGCGGAGAGCAGTACTCTCAATTTGGTAGACTCATATGGAGCTCCGCAACCTCCGTGCGCGGTCTTAGAACATTCATACTTCACTCAGTCGCCAAGGCGCAGTGTGATGGTGGGAACCGGATATGGAATAGACGATTATCTTCGTGGGCCCGAACTAAGTGGGCGCCCGCGTTTACTCGGCTAATCGAGATGAATATCCTGTCGCATGTGGCTCCGTACTTCCTTGAAACTTTGTACTGCTACAGGATTGGGTGACACCACATGGAATCAAAGGGCGTTGGGAAAACTTTTGCCTACTTGGAATGGAAGGGCGTTGAGTACCTGAATAAAGTGAATATCTAGCAGATAATTTGACCTAAGCCCCTCAATTACCTGGTTTACCTGGTTTCGGGCGGAGTTCAATTAGGGTACTCAGTGGCGGTGAATTTCAACGGATTCTCCTGATTTTCACCGCCGCCAACTGAAGGTAGGTGGCGAATCTTCCGAGTGGCCGCTTCCGAGGCTGTGGGTGGAGTGTCATGCTGTATTTGATTTGCTCTTTTCATGGGGTGAGAATGTCGATAATTCAAATGAAGTGCATCTTTGTGCGCCTGAATGTCGAGGGAGATAAACGACCTTTTTTTGGTCCCCCCGCTGTATAGTCCAATATATCAACGCTCACTCACCCTGTACAAGTTCCCGCCCCAGTCAACCAAGCCCTCATCCCACCGTTCACCTTCTCTTTTTCCTTATCCTTATATTATGTCGTTGCTTGGGACAGCAGGTGGGCAGCGACAAGTGGCGCGCTCACCACTCGCGCGGTCCTGGGTTCAAATCCCGGGTCGACTCCCGCCCAGGCCAACCAAGCCTTCTACCCTCCGGGGACGGTAAATTGGTACCATTCGTCTGGGAGGATAAAACACTGACTTGCACATCGGCTGGCCCGCAAGTCACTGGATTGGATTTTGAAGTTTGAACAGTTTTTTCCTTATTTCTGAGTCTCGATTCTAACAAATTCCCTAGAGGTGTAAAAGAGGTACGAGCTCTTGAAAACCAGCAGAAAAGTTCGCATTAGTGTGACAAGTGTAAGCAGGAAGCACGACCATTCTGTGGGCTTTGGAGGTTTGGGAGCGCACACTGCCATTGAGTGAGCCACGATAAACTTTCGCTTGAACTCCTATGTCATTTCATGCCTATTCAATCGGCATGAAATGATATAGGAGTTCAAGCGAAGGTTTATCATGGCTCACAGAGAACTTATAAAGAAAAGCTCTGTTGAATAAAATTACAACTGTGAAAAAAACGCTGCTCTAAGTAAGCCATACCAGGAATGGGCTTATTAGCCTCATTATTTTATGTGGGGATTTTTTGCTTTCTCTCGGACGTCTCTTTGTTCAGTCTCATACTATCACAATTTCCTCCTTTCCGACTCTGTGTAATGCTGTGACTTTTTTGGCTGGGCAATTTCCCCACTAGGTCGCTTGAGGTGGGGAACAAATAGTGACGAAAAGCTCGTGTACAACCTGATCCGCCGACGTCATCTCGTCCGGAACAATGATCCCTTCACTCCTTCTGAGGTCAGTTTATTGACATCAAACTAGTGAACATGGGCTGAACATGGCAAACGCACATTTGAACTTTTTCAGTGTTCTGAAGAGGCGAATGGCCCACACATTGTGGTGAAGCACCTTGCGACAGAGTTTCCTGGAAATAACGCCTCAACTCACTCTTAAGCGCGGAAACCATTGACAGTCTTTCAACAGACCGAGGGGAAAATCCTGAGCTTTTGTTCATAATATGACGAATTTGCGTGACGAAAAGCTGTTCAATTACATCGAGGAATGAGTTAGAAGAGCAATTTAGCCCTTGTCAATCAGCCCCAAATGCACTATGAAAAGTGGCAGATTCACATGTATGTGTGCCCAGCGAATGCGGGGAAGATAAGGGAGAACGGAGTAAACTTAACATTTTTTTCTTATTACATCATGTTTATTAGCCTCTCTGCTGCAGAGACATGGGTAGAAGACTAAATGAAATTCACCGGACTCAAACTTGGAAATAAAGCAGTTGCTGGAGGTATTACAAGTTTCCTTGGAGACAAACAGCATGCCCCCCTCTCACCAGCTCCTGAGCCTGAGCCTTGTACGAGGTGAATGGGCTCGTAGTTGCATTAGGCTGCCACGTTCTCCATTCCTCCTGAGGATCTCAATATGTTGTTCTGAAGAGTTTTCGTTGATCAGTATTGCGTAGAGTAGGCCTTGCTATTTAGAAAGAGCCATATGACACCAAACACAAGGGCTGTTTGAGGATGTTTTCAGTCGAAACAATTGGAACGTTGAGGAGATAGCTACAGAGAACAACCAGAAGTGAGAGGGCGCAGACAAGTGTGGCGTTTGGCCAAGGTTAGGCGTGTGGGTGACCGTGCGGCAGCGCGAACGTAGTAGGGTAAGGACGTGGACTTTTGAAGCATCGTGCTCCGGTCATGCTTATTTATAGCTTTCAGGTAAGTTTTCTAACACCTTTAGAGGTATGCTGCACGGTGACTCGACTCAATCTGAATGTTTTTCCAGTAGGAACCGAAGCGATAGGTGTTGTTCTTCCGGAGTTCAGCCAGAGGAGGGGAATCCGCGAATCACTCCATGGTGGCCTTTAGACCTTTTTTGTCTTCTGATAGTGTTTTGTCTGATAGTGTTCTAGCCATTATTTTTGCATGAATTTGCAACTGGCCCAATTGAGCTCATGACTCGGTGCGGGAGGGAGAGCTCAGAACGCTGAATGAGAGGGCGCTGTGAAGCGTTACTCGAACTAGTGAGAGAAAGAGGAACTATCCCAAAACTATATAAGCTATTGGTTGGATATCTCTTCGAGATCCGAGAAAATCAAGAGGTGTGACATTACACTTGCAATCTGGCGCACCCCCCCCCCATTGATATACAGGGGGGAGGCAAAAAAGTCACTTCGACCGAGTCACATATCAGCAAAGTTTTCGCCCAGACAGAGGACGTGGATACGAGTACCAGGCGGAAGATACCCAAGATGTTCCTCGATAAGCAGGAGCTGGCTCTCGCCCATCACCTTCATGTACACCAAAATATGAAGTCATCTCCAGTCGCAGCCTGACTGGAGAAGACCTTTGGAATTCATGTCACCTCCAAACAGCTGCGAAACTTCTAGTATGGAGTCACCCATGGATAGCTACCTGGAGACCAGTACTCAGATAGGTACTCTGAGACCAGGATACCTCCGATCTGGATAACCTCAACAATCGAGCAGCTTCCTACAAGCGTCGCACTGTCTAGGGATAATACTTCCCTGCAGTCGCAAGACGCCGGGTTGGTGGTTGCGGCCGAAGTACTTGGAAGTGAAGACCAATATTGTTTCTTGTGAACGCGGACTGAAGGTGAAGCGTTGGCGGTTACATCAATCAATCTCGAGTAAGAATTATATCCTCCACATCTCGTCGCCC